AGTCTACAGAGGAGATGGATGTCGAGTTTACGACTCCAACTGACCTCCCTGTAAATTTAGTTCAGGAGCGAGTCTACAGAGGAGATAGATGTCGAGTTTATGACTCCAACTGACCTCCCTGTAAATTTAGTTCAGGAGCGAGTCTACAGAGGAGATGGATTTCGAGTTTACGACTCCAACTGACTTTCCTGTAAATTTAGTTCAGGAGCGAGAGCTTCTCAACTCCCCAACTCCTGATCCAACAACTGAACCTTAAAAAAATGGTTTGGTGGTGGAGCCAGGAAACGACTGAGTCATTTCCTCAAGAGCGTGGTACCTTATAAAACCGCCTTGCACCAAATTCTTAAGCGGCATACGCAGAATCTGTCTCACGTGGGGGAACAAACCCCCCTATGAGCAGGTTAGCAAACGTTTGCGCTCAAGTGATAATTCACCAAAACTAGAGGCGAAAAATCTCTGCATGGCTGAATCTAAGGCATCGTCAGGTGTAGCTGACGTGCAGAAACCCACATATAGGAAGGTTTTCGTGGGTATCAAGGTGGGAATCTTGCAACTTGACTATCCGACTACCTCATAAACAGAGCATATAATTTGTGCCTGCCCCGCTGGAGACCGAATCAGAGTTCGGCAGAGGCGTACTCTCTGATCTGAAAGACCATTCACCATACAAACTAATCGGCTTCGATAAGAAGCTGGGTTTATTTGGCTGAGTGTGAATATGTGTGAGCCACAATAAACCCTTGCGGGTTGCGGTGGAGGGTCGAATAGACCCACTCACTTTGGACCTAACTTAGCCTAACCTATTGTAAGAATAATGAAAAATGGATTTATACGAAAACAGTAAAAACATTGATGAAATGAAATGATGGAAATGACTTTGACATATTTTTAAAATCAGGGAGGAGAATTTTGAATAGTGGGTAATATAATTTATTTTTGGTTTTTCAAAATGAATGTATAAATTTTACTGAAATTATTGAGGTCTGATCTTTTATTCATCGCATGTTCATCATTTATCTCAGCCATTTCTAAAAATAATCTGAAAAGAATCTTTCCAAAAGATGACTGGCCAGTCATGACTCAAAGACGATTGCGGGTAGTAACAATCGAAAAATCATGAAGTAACTTGGCTTGAAATCTTTTATTTTTATTTCTTTTCGTATTATTTAATTTTCAATTGTTGTTTGTGTTTTATTTTTTTGTAATTTCATTTCATGGTTTTTTTGCCTAATATAATTGTCATTTTCAGCTTTTCCTTTAAATTTTATTGATTCTTTCAGGGATTTCAAATCTTTCCATATCATATTAGACAATGGAAGTCCGAACTAATGAAATTCACCATGGAACATTGTCAACTACCTTCAAACACAAAATGTCTGACTATACATTTTTTATGATTCATATTTAAGTTAACTCTAAAATACAAAGATTGTAATTATGCACAGATGTTTCAGATACAAATATATGAACTTTGAATTGCAATTCAATAAGCCATAGAAATTTCGTTTTTATTGAAAACGGGGTAGTTTTTAGAAAAGATTAGTTTTTTGGAAAAAAAACTTTTTGACTTTCTACTTCTCTCTGAAATTTTATATCAGAACCTTTTCATATTTACGTTGTGTAGTGTTTCTGTGCATGATATGTTTCAATTCCATAATGAATGGATGACATATGAACTGAATAGAAAAAAGTGATTTCTGTGTCAAGCCAAATTCTTATGACTGGAACTAATAACTGTATGAATTTTTTTACATACTGTCGTCGTGGCAAGAGCAAATTTGTCTCTTCTACTAATACAACATGGTAATTTTGTGCAAGAATTGCGTGTTTTTATCTTTCGATTCAAAAAGGGGCTTTCAATTCTATAACGAATGTTTGAGATGTAAACTGAATAGGAAAACTTGATATTCATGTAATTCAATATATGTTTGAAATTAGTTGTTACGGATGCCCTCTATTTCCAGTTTGTATCTGGAAGAAATCTCTGTGCGTGATCCACAAATATTTAATAAGTTTTCCTAATTTTTTGCAAAAAGATGGAGAAAATACCACATTGACATACTTGATTGGAGTTTAAAGGATATACCTAAATATTTCAATTGTTCAATATCAGATCCATTTATGATGAAATTTACCATGATAAAATGATAGTTTTATGTGGTATATCCCAAAAGTAATATATTATCTACAATGTGGGTTTTTTTGGTGGTATCATCAAAATGACAGTATGTGAATGAAGAAATTATTAAATAAATAGGTATATTTATCAAACAATTCCTACAATAATATATGTACATGTGAATTATTTCAATATACATGAACTTCATAAGTTAATGGCACATCTAGTTTTTAAAGGGAGAAGACAGCTCTTCAATTTTTCATTGAAAATGTTTTCTTCATTCAAATTGTTACTTTCCTCACCTATTTTCTCCATGAACAAAATTTAAATTTAAATGAGAAAAAACAAATCACAATCTAAAATATTTTAAAAGCAACATTTCAACATCAATTGCATTCATATAAACTACTTCATATGAATTTTTGAGAATATGTAGAATATTTTACAAATTGTCAATGAATATATTAAATGCATTTTTTTATATTCACATTGACGAAACTTGTACATGTATGAAATAAAAAACTTCTCCAAAAACTCCAAGTAAATAAAATATATGACTTTGTACTTGAATGTTATTTTTGTGGTTCACATCTAACAAACATCAACATTTTTCTAGACTATACTCTCTTTTTCAGCTTGCAGGTTATTATATTCATTCAGAACACCTTTTCTCAATGAAGTGTTGCTCGATTTCAGTCCAGTTCCATTGAATAAACCCACCAGCCAGCTTTTGAAAGCACTCCGTGAAATTGTTTTTTTATTGTTTATGTCTGATAATTGGGCACAAGAGGCCGATACTGCTTCCAGGGAATGCCATCTAGAACAGAAAATAAGGTTTCAAATCAATTGTTTTGTTTTAAATGTTTTCATCAGCCACTTGCTTCCACTTTCTCATCTAATTGATATTGAATTTTTTCAGATGACTCTTGACTTGGTACAATTGTAATAATATTTATTACAATTGTACCAATTGTACCAATGAACCCAACAGTACTCAAGAATTTCAACAGAATTTTATCTAGTCAGTGTTGGGTTCATAGAGAAGTGACAATCGGTACAAACAAATTTAACCGTTTTATTCCACTTTACGAATAGAACAATATTCTAGAAATCGCAAAACAATAATTTTTTTACCTAATTCCCTTCTCTAAGCCATTGTTTGAATGAATATAGTTGTTCGCTTGACTATTTGCTAGAACGCTCGCTGGTAAATAACTACTGGTGCATTGTTTGAAGTCGTCCTTTCAAAATTACTCCTTACAGTGACTTTAACCAACTATTATCAATTTAACGAGCGTGTGCAACATTTAAGGTTATGCTTTATGCACAAAGTTTCTTGTGGTAAAAAATAAGAGTAGAAAATATGCTTGTATCTGGCACCCGCGAATTAACTTTTTTGAATTTTTTTGCCAATTACTAAGATGACTTTCAATATATCTTCAGCTATGATAACAATCGACAAGTTGAAAGATAAGACCTGTTTAATCTTTTAGTATAGACTAACGTTAAAAAAATTTGTTACTGAAAATTTCAAGGTGACAGTAAAACACTGCTTTTATGTTATTGTCCTTGATGCCCCAGAGTGATTTAAACATTTTTTACCATGGATTCAATGTTTCATGAATTATATTTCCTCGTAATGGAAATTAAGAATTTGAACGCCTTTGTTTCACTTACCTTTTGGAAAATTCGCTCTCAGATGTGTCATCAATAGCACTTCCTCCTCTTCTTCTGACTATCACAGGATGCTGCGTAGGGTTTAACAATGGCACATGTACGTCTTCTAAACCACTTTTTGCACAGTACGATGGAATATTAACCAAATTGCCATTAGGGAAATTATTATTCATCAGTTTATCTTCAGGTATGGCAAAAATTTGTACCTCACCACACTTATCACAGTTCTCTAATGATTTTGCAGAGCGCCGCTGTCCCTTCAAAAACTTTTCAATCAGATCCGAAGGTTTGTTGCTCTTTCGAAGAGGTAAACAATCCAATGATTTCGATTCCTTTATTCTGTTCAGCAGTCCCTGACTTTTCTGATGCTCATCACAACTAGATGCGATACTCGAAAGTACTCGTCTAGGTCGAACAACTCGGCGGTTTTCTTCTTCAATTAGTTGACTTCCAAAAGCTGTGTTGATAGTGAGTTTGGACCCCCCTGGGTCTGGAACATGCAGATTATGTCGATTAATTTTTGGATGACGAGTTGGCGCTGGACTCGAATTTTGAAGAGTTGAAGTGCTTTCCACCTCTATACTTGTACCTGGTGGAGAAATTTATTTCGGTAATGAAACAATTGTAATAATTTTTTCTGTTGAACACTGAAAAAAAGTTGGTTTTAGGAATACAAAATATTTTCAAGGTATGGAAATCACTAAACTGCAGTTTCTCAACAGTTTCAAAAAGTAACAGCAACAAACAGAAAACGTTTTTATTCTCGATTTTCTCAAAAACTTTGTGCGAAAAAGATTTCTTAATTGTTTCCTTCCTTCTCTGACTATGGGTTACTTCAAATTTGTACTTCTGATTTCAAATGAAGCTAAACTTTCAACATAAAAGACTGAGGTTTGCAAACTGTAGGCTACATTTTATACACAGGGCTCTTAACATCTCAGAACTCATTTTTCGAAAGAAAATATTTTCGAAAGAAAATATTTTCGGAAGAAATAGTATAGAAAATTATACACTCAATGCATACCTTTTGATAGACATTGAGTTTTAACATTCACATAGTTCAAATTGAATCAGTTTCGCAACTGAAATCTTTAAAAATAATAGACCACCACCAAAACGAAGTAAAAATATAGCTGTGTGGAAAGCAATTCAATTATAATCACAAATGAATCAAAAATTGAGATTTTACAGAAGTATATCATATCTGCAAAAACAATCTCTTGATTGGCGTTTGGTATTATTAGTAAATCAAATGATATTACTTTGTACTTGATAATAATTATTAAAAATAACATTGTAATACATTTTACAGCTAGTTTCCCCTAGCTTGCCTCAGGTAGTGTGTGCTAACAGATTCTGTAAAATTCCTATAAATCAAATACTCAAACAAAAACAGTGATTTGAATCATAACAAATTTTCACAAACTACACCTAACGATTTGATCTTCACAAACTTTATTTGCAAAAATATCACATGAATTATATCGCCCGTTCCCATGTGAACCGCTGACCATGCTGAAGCAGAATCTCGCGATTCTGGGAAACTGATGTGCAAGCATTCTTATCTTCATGGGAAGAATACTTTTGTAATTCAGTTATAATTATGCTCTCATACTGTTAACATCAATTTTTGTTAATAAAATTAATTTTTAAAATTTTATTTTTAATGTCATAAATTATAAATTCCATTTATTTCTTGACGTGTTTCTCTAAATTAAACTTCAAATATCTAATGAAATTTCATTTTTCTCTAAGTCTGAGGAAATTTCGATTCTATATTATTGTACCATTATTATTATAATTCAACAACACCTACGTAATTTGAGACACCCTGTATACATTGATGTCACTAACACGAAAACGAGAAAACTCATGTGACGTATTTTGAAATGTATTTGAAAAATACCCTCATTGCCTCCCATTTTCAAACGTTTCCCATTGGGATCGCATGCTAAAACGATAGAGCCCCATTAATTCAACATGTTTTTTTTCAAATGAGACACCATGTACACATTGAAAAAATGTCAAAACGAAACGTCAAAACGATAGAGTTCCCCTTCAAACTGCAATGTTTTTTCTTAAATGAGACACCCTGTACACATTGAAGAATCACACGTTGAAACGATAGAGCCCCGTCAAAATGTCATGTTTTTTTAATGACGCATTTTGAGACACCCTGTACACATTGACGTCATGTTTTTTTGTCTTTAATTCAATTTTTCATTTTTTTATTATTATTATATCATTATTTTCCACGCTGACGTATTTGAAATACCCTGTACATGTTTTCTTTTCCTAAACGATGAGACACCCTGTATGGCAGCCATGTATTTTTCTTTAATCATATTTTTCCGTTCATTATTAATATTATACCGTTATTTTCCACGCTGACGTATTTGAGATACCTCACATGTTTTTTTTTTCTCAAACGATGGGACACCCATGTACACATTGAAGAATCACACGCCAAAACGATAGAGCCCCGTTAAACTGTCATGTTTTTTAATGACTCATTTTGAGACACCCTGTACACATTGACGTCATGTTTTTTTCTTTAATCCGATTTTTCATTCATTATTATTATTATACCATTATTTTTCACGCCGACGTATTTTGAGACACCCTGTACATGTTTTTTCTACTAAACGATGAGACACCCTGTACACATTGAAGAATCACACGTTGAAACATCATAGCCCCGTTAAACTGTCATGGTTTTTTAATGACCCATTTTGACACACCCTGTACACATTGACGTCATGTTTTTTTCTTTAATCCGATTTTTCATTCATTATTATTATTATACCATTATTTTTCACGCCGACGTATTTTGAGACACCCTGTACATGTTTTTTCTACTAAACGATGAGACACCCTGTACACATTGAAGAATCACACGTTGAAACATCATAGCCCCGTTAAACTGTCATGGTTTTTTAATGACCCATTTTGACACACCCTGTACACATTGACGNAAGAGTCAGTGGACGATCTGCTTCTGGCAATATTGGTATGCTCACGAGTCCATTGTCTCCTCCACCAGGCCCCAAGCCGTTTATCAAACATAACTTCGATAAAATGGAAGTTAAGCAAGTAATGGATAAGTCTGAACCTGAAGATGAAAGCAAAACTTCCTCTGCCGAAATAACCTTGAAATCGGCAACATTGCCAAGAAGAAAAACTACCAAAGCAGAGATTCAGCTGAACTATCCAATACCTAAACCCACACCCATGGGATTCAAGACTGAAATGGCACATAATATCAAGGCATACCCTAGCCCAGTGACCCAGAAGACTGAGGTTGTTGTTCCTGTTTCATCTGTTACTTCTATACCTTCAACTGGATTTAGGTATGAAACTTTAAATTTAATTTTATTGATTTATTTCAAAATAATACTGTACACTAGAGTTCTTTTTGCAGTAAGCACTAAGCATCTGTATTGAAGCTCTGTAGATTCTTATTTCGATTCCCAAATTATATAAAATGGTTCATGCTTTGCATAATCACATAAAAAAGTTAATTTTCTTGTTACTTTCTTCAACCAGCTTGAATGCCTACATTCTCAAGTAAAGTTTATCACTTAACAACACTTAAATATGTGCCATATATATCCACCTGACAAATTGGAACAAACAACACAAACACAACACTTTGAAAACCTTGGAATAGTAATGAAGTTATTGAACTTAGAAATAACATTAGACTTATTCAGCAAATGTATCAGAATATAGTTTTTTATTGTAAGTGCATAACACTAGAATTTAAAACTTATGTTCGAAATATTTTTCTAAATGTAATAATGTTTTCAGTTTTTGAAAATAGGGAGAAGATGGTTTTAGTTATGGAATATGCAGCTGGTGGAGAACTTTATGATTATTTATCTGAAAGAAAAGTGCTAGACCAGGAAGAAGCCCGCCGAATCTTTAGACAAATAGCAACAGCATGCTATTACTGTCATAAGCATAAAATATGCCACAGAGATTTGAAACTCGAAAACATACTACTTGACGAGAATAATAACGCTAAGGTTATTTTTTTCAATTCTCTGTGTTTTTGATCCTCACACGGATTATTTCTACAACATTTCGGCAAAGTCTCATTTGCCATTGCATTTCTGGTGATTGGGAAAAGTGTTTTGGATTCATTGAATTCAGTGAAACCCTCATCAGTGTTACAAAGATATTGATAAGTCTTCATTATTTAATTTACAGATTTGATATTATCAAAAAACTCGGTCAAGGAACTTTTGGTAAAGTTCAGTTAGGAATAAATAAAGAAACCGGCCAAGAAGTAGCTATAAAAACCATTAAGAAGTCCAAGATTGAATCAGAAGCTGACTTGGTGAGGATAAGAAGAGAAATTCAAATTATGTCGTCAGTTCAACATCCGAATATAATTCATATCTATGAAGGTATTTATACAATATTTCAATCATTTCACTTATTATTATTAATATGAAGAGAGACAAATGGGAAAATGTCCACATATGTGTCACCATTCAAGAGAGATCTTATAGTTGCTTATATGGTGACTAGAGACCATACAGAATATCTGGAAAAAACTTGTGTTCTCCCAGGAATATAAAGTTGAATTNCTGATCTGGTATTGTGGTTATGGATGTCGGAGTTTTTTAGTAAAGTATCTTTATTGCGATGTATTTCTAGCAGAACAGTATAAATATATAAAGTAGGCAGAGGCATAATACCCAGACGAATAAAAAATTGATGGCAGTGGTCTCTGTATCCCAGGTTAGCCAAGATGCGTATGGCTTTTTTCTGGCATCTGAAAGCAGCAATTGCGTTAGTAGAGTTACGGTACAACTCTATGGGGTGATCAGTTAGTCTGAATATCTAAGGTATAAATGAATACAGAGAATCATAAGTTTCACCATTCAATATTTTGTTTCCTCTTGAACCCATAATGATGATGAGAACATCTCCATTACAAATCCTTATAGACTACCAAAAGGTTTGGCAGCCAAAATAAGCAAGACAACGATACCACAAGAATAACGAGATTCCAAAAAGTACCTTGAACTATGTTGAAATGCATTTGGATCTGCGCCAAACATGCTGTTCAAAATCATATGGTAAAAACAATCGTATAATGTTTATTTTCACAAGCAGGCGCCTGACTCCAGTTCAATCCAACCAATAAAAACCCATGAAAAACCTCCGTTTATGTCATTATCTCAATTACAGAAGGATTTGGGAGTACTGAGAACCACAAATAAAATCAATACACTGGTTTAACTGAATAATTTATGGCTCAGGGATATGAAATTATAAGCAACAGACCCATTTTTAAAAAACAACTCAAACTAATATGCATCATTAGATGGCCTTGCAACATCTATATATAACTATTCCAAATAAAATGAAAATAACATTATTGCCTTCTATATCAAGAACAACATTTTTATTTGGATTCTATTCAACTTTTGTCTTCTTATACATGTTATGTATATTGATAACTCAAGTATATCCTTTTTATGGTTTTATGAAATCTGTATACTTTTTTGGTGTTATTGCATCTGTTAAATCTGAGTTAATGAATTTGAGAATCCACTTTTATTTTGGTAGTCAAAAAGAATTTCATTAATTCAATATCTCAGAGCCGGCAGATTTACTTCATTTCAGAAAAGCTAACCTTTCAACAATAAATAATATTTTTCAAAGCTTCTTTTTCTATGTCAACACATTTATAGTCATATATAGTAACAATCTTGTGAGTCCTTTATATCGAGTATAAGTGCTATCATATGAATTCCTTAATGTAAATATGTTGTCAAATGTCTTTGACGATCAAAGACTTTTGAATACTTTTTGTGGTTCACCTCTGTATGCATCTCCAGAAATTGTCAAAGGAACTCCCTATCAAGGTCCCGAAGTTGACTGCTGGTCCCTCGGCGTTCTTCTTTACACCCTTGTCTATGGCGCTATGCCATTTGATGGAAGTAATTTCAAAAGACTTGTGAAGCAGATATCAAACGGGGATTATTATGAACCAGCAAAACCTAGTCGTAAGTAAAATGTTAATGATTATTTCAGATACAGTCCTGCAATCTTAAGAATGTATTTTTAAAAGCCATTGTTTTCCGTGTCTCAGCATCAAACACTAAACATTTTTAATTCCCCTAGAAATATAATGCTTTCTCTACACAGACCACCTTATATTTTTCAGCGGCATCTTCTTTAATAAGCGACATGTTGACTGTGAATCCTAAATCTCGGGCAGACATAGAAAAAATATGCACTCATTGGTGGGTGAACGAAGGCTACAGTGAAAACTGTCTTGATATATCAGAAGAGTTAGCAAATCAAACACCTGTTCGTTTGGATGTTCTTTTATCGTTAGCACCTCCGCCTCCACAACTGGAAAGTGAAAAGCTTATGCTTACAGGAGAAGACCAGACTGCTAAGATAGAATCTATTGCGCCTACCAGATCTCAATCTGTTGGCAGTTTTATGGAACTTGCACATCCAGCAGAAAGACGGATTAATGATCTTCTTAATGACGATAAAATAACTCCAAAGAGAAAGTTGGAGACTACAGTGAGTACTGATCAAGCTAATTTAGACAAGAGAAAAGATAAGATCGTCAAAGAAAACACAGTGGCTGATATCACAGTTCATACAAATATAGAGAGTTCACCTCTAGAAGATGATAATATGAGTGATGCCAACCCTCTCAATAAAAGTTCAACTCAGACATTGTCAAGAGATATGGATATAGAACAAAATGAAGTTATAACAGATCCATCTTCGCAAGGTGCAGCTTGTTCAGAAATTTTGGAAGAGGCAGAGAAAACAAAGCTTCAAAAAGTAAAGAGAACTTTATCTACAAGTTTGAGTACTAAAGTTTTGGAAGGCATAAATGAAATACCTAGTCAAGAAAATGTTGCTGACACTTTAGGTAAAGAAAATGTAGAGAGTGTTCAAGAAACAAAAGTTGATGAAAAGAAAACGTTTTCAGGAAGTAAAACCCCGATCAAGAAAAAACTTGTAAAGAAAAAAGTTCTTACTGATAGAGATGAAAATTCTAAAGAAATGACAGCAAATTCAGAAGAAAAATCAGCCCCGTTAGAAGAAGTAAAAGAGAAAGAAAGTGAACCAGAGCCACCTTCCAAGCCTATTGAAAGGAGAAAGTCAAGAATTTTCGAAGCTGCTGAGAAATTTCAGAATATGATTTCCCCAACCGAGCCTAAACCAGCATCTATGGAAAAACCGAAAAAAATAGTCATACCTGGAGTGAGCGTAGGTGGTTTCAAAAAAGAATTTGAACGAAAAGCAAGCTTAACATCAACTTCCCCACCAAAGCTCAAATCTACATTAAGCAAGAGGATTGTCCCAGAAAAGAAGCCTGAAGAGAAAGAACCAGTAGAACAAACAGTTGTGAAAGAATCAGAGCCCGAGCCAATAAAAAACGAGGAAGATATCAAGGAAAGAGTGCGAAATGCAGTCAGTATAATTTCAAGTGCCTTAGACAAAGAGGGGACGAGAAAATCCAAGTCCCGACCTTGCATAATGAGAAAACCTCCGGTTCCTTTCGGAGTCAGTGGACGATCTGCTTCTGGCAATATTGGTATGCTCACGAGTCCATTGTCTCCTCCACCAGGCCCCAAGCCGTTTATCAAACATAACTTCGATAAAATGGAAGTTAAGCAAGTAATGGATAAGTCTGAACCTGAAGATGAAAGCAAAACTTCCTCTGCCGAAATAACCTTGAAATCGGCAACATTGCCAAGAAGAAAAACTACCAAAGCAGAGATTCAGCTGAACTATCCAATACCTAAACCCACACCCATGGGATTCAAGACTGAAATGGCACATAATATCAAGGCATACCCTAGCCCAGTGACCCAGAAGACTGAGGTTGTTGTTCCTGTTTCATCTGTTACTTCTATACCTTCAACTGGATTTAGGTATGAAACTTTAAATTTAATTTTATTGATTTATTTCAAAATAATACTGTACACTAGAGTTCTTTTTGCAGTAAGCACTAAGCATCTGTATTGAAGCTCTGTAGATTCTTATTTCGATTCCCAAATTATATAAAATGGTTAATGTTTTGCATAATCACATAAAAAAGTTAATTTTCTTGTTACTTTCTTCAACCAGCTTGAATGCCTACATTCTCAGGTAAAGTTTATCACTTAACAACACTTAAATATGTGCCATATATATCCACCTGACAAATTGGAACAAACAACACAAACACAACACTTTAAAAACCTTGGAATAGTAATGAAGTTGTTGAACTTAGAAATAACAATAAAATAAACTCAAATGCACTCGCCCATTATGTGCATTTTCAACCTTCCCTTGAATTGAACTATCAAATTAAAATATTCGGTACCATGATCTAAATTATTGAAAGCCAACATTCCTGCATGATATGTAGATATGTAGATTTTTTTGGAAAGCAATCTTTATAGTACTGGTAGTAGGTTCTTCTTCAATCAAATTAAATACTGCTTCCTCAAGCTGTGGTGTTCGTACTTCTCGATGGCGACCACAATCCTGCGTTCTTTTGTCGAATGAACCATATTCTCGTAATCGTTGATGGAGTCGAGCAAATATTGTATGTGAAGAACGCTGCCGTTGAGGATACATTTTTGCATATCTTCTAGAAGCTTCTAACCCATTCCCCTGCGACAGACCGTAAACGTAATGCATATCAGCCATTTCCTCATTTGTGTATGCCATTTTAATAACAAGTGAATTATTAAAGTAACAAATTAAGAAAAGAACACAACACACAATTAGTATTAATTCAATTTTGAAAATTCACAAACCGACAGCGTCACACCAATTTAATTGTCACTATCGCTAATAGCGACCTACTAGATAGATTAGTTTCCTATTTTCGCATTTATGACGATGTATCTCTGTAGTTCGTAAAATAATTTTTTGCTGCAAACTGGTTTATTTTGGGCAAAAAACCCAAGAGACATGTTTTGTTTAGAATGAAACAGGGTATCGGAAATACATTTTTAAACAAATAATAAGACAAAAAGTTACATTGGAAATAAATTTTAGGGGTTGCGTTTTCCACCCCTTACAACCATGGGGTAAACGAAATAAATTACTAGCTAGTAGTGGTAGTACAAAACGTCAGGTTAATTTCAATATTGTAAGTTTTTTAGTGCTTGTGAAAAAAATTGTTATACAATTTTTTTTTTTCGATGAGGAATCACATTAAATGTTTTACACTTATTTAGTTACACCCTATATATCAGTACCATTGTTTGATAGTACACATAGTCTTTTAAAGACATCCATTTCAATTCTCTCAACATGTTGACTATTGGCGTGTCTCTTGGTACCCTCAGTATGATTCTCATGGATCTGTTTTGTTACTTTTGAAGTCGATCCAACTCGTAAATAATATTGAAGAACAGAAAGTAAGATGTGGTAAAACTAATGCATTATAAATTGTAATTTTCGACCATCTAGATAGGCTAGGTGATACTCTCACCAGAAAATTGACATTATTGGTGATAGCTTTTATCACTTTCAATACATGTTCTTTGAATGTCAGTCCATGGTCGATCAATACTCCCAAATACTTCACCACTGTTAATGAACTGCATTTTGCGGTTCTTGTTGTTTTTCTGAATATAGATCTGAATCTAGCTTAGAAGCAAAAGTCAGAATGTTAGTAGATGAGATACAGGTCTTCTGGGACGTAATCCCTGGGGGACGTACTTACGGTAGTGAGTGGGAAAGAGAGGTGTGCGACGTGATCGACGCATAGAAGGATGGAATGAGCATCGAGTAGATTCATTAGATAAGAGCGCGGTGGAATTACAAAAATAATGGTATAATATTAATAGTGAACGAAAAATCGGATTAAAGACAAAAACATGGCTGTCATACAGGGTGTCTCATCGTTTAGGAAAAAAAACATGTACGGGGTGTCTCAAATACGTCAACGTGAAAAATAATGGTATAATAATAATAATGAATGAAAAATTGGATTAAAGAGAAAAACATGGCTGCCATACAGGGTTGTCTCAAAATGCGTCATTAAAAAAAACATGACAGTTTAACGGGGCTCTAATGTTTCAACGTGTGATTCTTCAATGTGTACAGGGTGTCTTATCGTTTAGTAGAAAAAACATGTACAGGGTGTCTCAAAATACGTCAGCGTGAAAAATAATGGTATAATAATAATGAATGAAAAATTGGATTAAAGAAAAAACAATGTGTACACATTGACGTCATGTTTTTTCTTTAATCCAATTTTTCATTCATTATTATTATTATACCATTATTTTTCACGTTGACGTATTTGAGACACCCCGTAGATGTTTTTTTTCCTAAACGATGAGACACCCTGTATGACAGCCATGTTTTTTTCTTTAATCCGATTTTTCGTTCACTATTAATATTATACCATTATTTTTGTAATTCCACCGCGCTCTTATCTAATGAATCTACTCGATGCTCATTCTATCCTTCTATGCGTCGATCACGTCGCACACCTCTCTTTCCCACTCACTACCGTAAGTACGTCCCCTAGGGATTACGTCCCAGAAGCCCTGTATCTCATCTACTAATGTTAACTTTTTTTTTTATGTCCAAGATGGTAGATTTACCCACTCTATAATGTTTCGACAAAGATAAGTCACTTTCACCTCTTTCAAGTCGATTTAATATTTCGAGTTTGGTTTTTATAGTTGAAAACTTACGTTTCTTGTGAATACGCCATAATATGACACTATACAGGGCACACACAGTAATTAAAATACAAATTATGTACGCACAACGAACCACAAAACGCAACTACAACTATTCTCTCACACCGACAAGGCTAAAAACAGACTAGCCCGCTGGTGGTAGGGGGAAAGGACGGTTCAAGAAACTCTTCCAAGGTCATTGTTCCCTCAAGTGCAAAGTACACTTGTCATTTTTAAAATGGGCGTTCGAATTTTCGACGTTCGGATTATTGACGCACTACTGTACTTAATTTTCTCATCACAACAGCAGTTTGTGTGTTCAAACATATTAAACCCAACCGGTTACATTTACTATGTTGATGTATTCCAGGTCAACCTCAATAGAGCAACATAGTGTAGTAAAGGGCCGGTCCAAAGAAAGAATTATACCAATTTCATTTGAAAAAGAAGAGGAAACCGAGGACAATGTGCAATCACCCCCATCTAAACCTCCCGTGCCAAGGTTTTTCCAATCTCAAAGATCGGATAGTTCACAGAAGTAAATGCGTGCTGTCTTTCGAAAGCACATATAAAACTTTCCTTTTTTTAGGACTTCCCTTTCAAGGCAGTCAACTCAAGATTCTGATACTGAAACTGTAGGTTCAACAGGAGAACCCATTAAAAAGTCACCTAGAGAGTACATAATACCGATAGCCGTAGAGGGAGGAGGCTATGTAACACCAAGAGCTGGCAGTTTGGAACCTAGTGAAACAGTCAGCAGCACAACTAGTACCATGACCAATAGGAGCAAGACGAAGTTCGGAAGAGCCAGGAGAATGAAGTAGGTTACCTTAAATTTTCGCTGGACCGATTGATAAACTGTAACACTGGTTTCACTATACAATAACTTTCTCACAATATCATATTGTGAGTTGGTTTGGGTTTTTCTGGATACCTTTCGGCAAGTAACTTGCATGTCCGGTCGATAATTCGATTACATTCGCCATACATCATAATCAAATTCAAAATAGATTAGGTTAGGTCCAAAGTGAGTGAGTCTATTCGACCCTCCACCGCAACGGTTTATTATGGCTCACACCCATTCTCACTCGGCCAAACAAACCCAGCTTTTTAACGAAGCCGATTAGTTTGTATGGTGAGTGGTCTTTCAGGTCAGATGGTAAGAGTACGGCTCTGCCGAACTCTAAAGATCTGATTCGGTCTCCAGCGGGGCAGGCACAAAGTATATGCTCTGTTAATGAGACTTTTTTGCCTCTGGTTTTGGTGAAACCTCACTTGAGCGTAAACGTTTGCTAACCTGCTCATGGGGAATCAGTTTCCCCAACTGAGACAGATTCTGCGTACGCCGCAGCTCTCGCTCCTGAACTAAATTCACAGAGAGGTCCGTTGGAGTCGTAAATTCGACATTCATCTCCTCTGTAGACTTGCTCCTGAACTAAATTTACAGGGAGATCAGTTGGAGTCGTAAACTCGAAATCCATCTCCTCTGTAGACTCGCTCGTGAACTAAATTTACAGGGAGGCCCGTTGGAGTCGTAAACTCGACATCCATCTCCTCTGGAGACTCGCTCCTGAATTGAATTTACAGGGAGGTCTAACAATGCCTTAGATTCAGCCGTGCTGGGCTTTTTCGCCTCTAATAAATTTGTTTGTATAATATAATTTCACAATTAGATTGTATTCTCATATATTTATGTACATGGGGTCTAGGGTTGAAACCAACATCCCAAGTGTAATGCAGATGTTATTGAAACTGCAACATATCACTTACTGAATTATATCTACAAAGAAGTGGATTCGAATAATTTTGTAATGTCTTTATTTTTTGATCTAACAAAAACATTTGACACAGTATCTCCTAAATTTCTAATTGCAAAACTAACCCAACTTAGTTTCCCGAATAACTTGTTGAAATGGATTGAATCTTGCCTCAAAGGGCGTACCATGACTGTAAAATGTGAAAATGTGAGATCAAGGTGCAATGACGTTAAGCTTGGAGTGCCACAGGGGTCAGTGCTTGGACCATTGATTTTTTGTTGTATGCAAATGATTTGTCAGAGTATCTGAAAGATTGCCACCTTACTATGTTTGCGGATGATACCATTATCACAGTTACAGGGGTTAATATTGATGTACTGCTTAGTAAGGTAAAATGCATAATCGATGGTGTCAGTGAAACAGATTAATATTGAACTCACAAAAACTGTAATAGTAAATTTCTATAATAGGAAAAATGGTGTTCCAGATGACCTTCAAGTTATTGACGAAATAAAGATTTGTAGCGAAGTTAAACTTTTAGGAACTTAATTGGATGAAAGCTTATCATGGGATCTGCAAATAAAAGATGTCTGCCACAAACTAAACAAGACATTTTTTGATTTAAGGCAAATGAAAACATGCATGAACACAGCGAGTCTACTAGAAATCTATTTTGCTATGGCATATAAACATATATAGCTAGCATGGGGTTGCAGTAATGAATTCATCAGAGTATTCGTAGCACAAAAGCGCATAGTTAGACCAATTTTCAGCATTGAACACCAAGACAGCTATAAACCAGTATTCGTTGGGGAAAAATTATTATCGGCTCCCTCCATATACATTCCCAAATGAAACGGTGCATAGTTACAACACACATCATGGTGATGTTTTGCATTTTCCGAGTCATAAGACAACAAAATATAAAAAGTTCCTTTGTTTAATGCCATAAATCTGTATAATAAATGACCAGAGCAGATCAAACAAATTACCTCTGATAGAGTATTTCATAGTAGAGTAAAGCAATTGCTGCTGCAAAAATGTTACTATAGTTGTGATGAATTCCTGGATGATGATTTCCGATGAGCACTGATTGTCATTATTTTTTTCTCTTATTGTTATTTAGTCTTATCTTTGACGCTTGTTCCATATTTTTGCTGGGGAATACATATACACACTGTTATTATATTCTATATATATTTTAAGTTATTGACATACCATATGTACATACTGTACCAGTGGCAAATAAATAAATATAACATTTAAAAGTTTCATTTTTCAATTACTATTTTCAGCTCCCTATTCAGCGACAGAGACTCTGAAGATGAATCTTCTCCATTTTCCACCTTACATCGACATGGATCAATTGGAAAAGACAGTGATAACGATGATTCTAAAAGAGATGCTTTCCATCTGCACAGGCTAAGGTATGTCATCTTTATCTCCAAGCTGATTTGTGTTTCATTGTAAATATTTTTTTTAGGAGTACAAGGCCCAAAAGATCGAACTTGGAGCACACTGATTCTTTGAGCTCTGGAGAAGAGGATGATGATGAAGGATTTGAAATATTAACTGCAGAAAACTTGTTTTCCACTCTGCTCTCTAGGGTAAGTGAGAACAACATAAATTACAAAATGATGTGACTGTTTTCCATGTCAGGTTCGAGATTTAACCCAAAAACTAAATGTTGACGATGGAGTTAGACCTGGTTTCCCAAGCAGTCGACTGCTGAGTCATTTTGATCACGGTACAAACTTCTGGAACAGAATGGAACATCCCCTTTCAAGGTAAGAATCTACTTATAGTTTTTTCAATTCTAATGTAGACTTCGATCATATGTTATTGGTTCGTTAATTTTTCAACTATTTTTGCTCCCTGCTAGCACTCATTACATTATTACATATAGAAGAGATGTTAAAAAAATTATGTAAGTTCAGTTCATATACTAGATAGAGAATTGATATAGTAGTGAAATGTAGCTGGAACTAAATTTTTGATGAAATTCGCAGAAAAATAAATCCTTTTGTATACTATTGTTGTGAATTATGCCCTAAAGAAAATAACACCGGCCGCCGCTGATCGTCATAAATCAATTGTGACGTGCTCAACTCGACGTACGGTCGCGGCCGTTCTAGACGTGGCGTTGCTTCGAGAATAATGCTAACGGCATCGATGGAATTCCGGCGAATTTTCTACCGTCTTGGATTGTCAATCAATCAGTATACTGTATTGTCCAAGAAAAGAGATTCTTATTGACAAAGCTTTCTATAATATGAAGTGAGTCTATAATTAAATTTGACACATTTTTATTGTTGTTTTTATTTTATTTTTATCGTTGTTTTAGACAAATAGTATTCTATATAACACAGGTCGACAAATACAAAAATTTTCACAACACAAAAAGTGATGTATAAATATTCTTATTTACATCGCTTATTATAATCTAAAATGATCATACAGTGCCTTCATTTCAAAACTTCCCACCCCTAGTACTTCGTTTAGCAGGGAGATTTGCCGTAGGCAAAAAACACGTCAATTTAGATATCGAGGGGGAAGTTTAAAACCAGTGCCAGTGGTATTTTTGGTTTAACCCCCTTACCCCTAGCTACCCCCACTGAAACGAAATAATTGGCCCTATTTTTATTGAAGAAAATTTAACTGGTCAATTGTATTTAAACTTATTGGAAAATGTAATCGATTCACTCATAACAGTCCTTAGAACGCCAAGTTGATGAAGAAGACAACCCACTTTGGGAAGAACAAAATTTACATTTTCAACAGGACGGCACACCGCCACACTACGCATTGCATGTCCGACAGAGGCTCGATCAACGGTATCCTAACAAATGGATTGGCAGAAGAGGCGCTCTGGAATGGCCAGCAAGATCTACGGATTTAACGCCATTGGATTTCTTCCTCTGGGATTATTTGAAAACAATGGTATACAAAACTCCCCCGCAGGACATTCAGGATCTAAGACACAGGATTACTGACACATGCAGACGAATTAATAACGAAACATTTACAAAAGTCCGACAGGAATTCGAGAATAGATTGTACTTTTGCATAGCTACCAATGGTGAACATTTTGAACACCTGATAAAGTAAGGTACATTTATTTAATTGCAATAGCTATTATTTTATTTTTTATTATAATTAATTTTCTTTTTGCCCTATTTTACGAGAACGGATCAACCAATTTCAGTTTTCTAAACGGGGTTGAGTGAGAATTTTTAAGATCTTTAAAATGATGTGTTACAAGATAGGGAGTGCCATTTAAAATTAAGTGGGGTTAGCTAGGGGTAAGGGGGTTAAACCTAAAATACCAGTGGCACTGGTTTTAAACATCCCCCTCGATATCTAAATTGACGTGTTTTTTGCCTACGGCAAATTCTCTTTGCTAAACGAAGTACTACGGGTGGGAAGTTTTGAAATGAAGGCACTGTATGTATAATTGAATTCTTAAATAGTATTCTAGTACATTAAACAAGTTTACAAAGCCAAAAATGTATCACAATACAAAAAAGTGAGCATTATTGTATGTAAACGCTACCTAAGAGCATATCGATGTAGTCAAGTCATAGTATCAACCAGTAATTCCACTTCCACCACTTTCATTAATAAATTCACAAAGTTCTCGGTGACCTCGAAACGAAGTGCGGAGCCAATTTCGTTCTTTTACCATTGGCGTGCGCTCATATAAAAACGAAATTTAAGAATATTATAGAAGATTTTGTGGTAAGTAAGCAACTACAAAAACTAAAAACAATAATAACAACAGCGAATAAACTAAACTCAATATCAATTTACTATCGTTTATTATAACTAATCCGATGCCCGTGGTACTGTCGAATCCTTCGATACTACAGCACTAAACGCGTTGGATCAGAATCTCATTCTAAGAGCGGTTGAAGATCCCTGGCAACTCAGGCGAATCCTGTGGTAAGAGAGCCTACTGGTTGTATATTCTACTGTGGTCAAGTGAAGTCAAGTTTAGTGGACAGTGTTGTACCGAACGATCTAATAAGGCGATAGACATTTGATTAATACTTGAGGTTTTAGTTGAAGTGTTTGGTTGTATTAACAGTGAAATGAAGTTGAGTTTGATCATTGTATAGTGTAGTGAAACTATTTTTCGGGTTCGAAGGCCGTGGATTTTTGTAAATTATTTTCTTTGGGCATAATTCACAACACTATTTATAGGTGGACAAGTAAACTTTAAATAGAATTTTCTATAGATCGATCAACTGTTCTTCAGGTGGTATTTTTATTTCACAGGCATTCTTCGTTGGGTAGGACGTTCAATCGAGATAGGCCAATATCGAAAGCAAGTACTGGTAGTAGTTTTGGAGTACCCTGGAGGAGAAGTGTTAGCAAGGATTTAGCATCTGATATTGACAGTGTATTCAAAAATGCAACAAATACTACTGCTCCACGTCCAACTGGAGGTAATTATTTTGATATATAACCCGTTAAAGTAGATTTTGTACTGTGATACCGATATTTCTGTATTTACAAAGCATTCAATTTTGTGTCGTAGTTAAATGTTACAATTTTTCTTGCTCGTTGTAGTTTGTAGGGTATTTTTCCTGCAACCAACCTATTCCCGTTTTTGTAACTTTTTTGTTTTGAGTACAAAATGGATTTTTTTTATACAGATAATCATAAAGACAACTACCTACATTCAATTGTCTTCGATTATACTCTTTGGTGTACCAATGTACAATGATTTATCTGTAACTTTTATAAATGAATTTGTATTAACATATTTTGATGTATAGCAAAAATTAGTAAACATAACTACTTGCCGTTGATATAAAATGATTATAACAATTAAAAAGTTCATTTAGATTCATTTTTATTGGTACAGGTCTCTTGAAATTATGAACAATTACTTTCAGAAGTACAAGATTTTTCAAAAGTTCTGTATTTCTCTGAAATAGTTTTTGGTCCAATATGCTGAATATTGGACCAAGCTGGAGTCTAAATCCAAAACAAGCACTTTTTCCACAAACACCAGAACTGCAATACTCTTCCCGACGCACGTTTCACCAACCAAGTTGGCATCTTCAGGATATGAAGTTTTTATTTAATTTTTTTATTTATTTATTGCACAGGATCACCCCTTTTATAATAGTACAAGCATCAAATATAATAAATATTCATATACAATTTGAAAATTAATGAAAAGACTAAAAATGTAAAAGTGAGACTCAATGAAAATTCAAGCAAAATGAGTAAAAGCACTAAGATCGTTATTTCTGAGAGTTCTCGTTGGCACAGCCTCTCGAGAAATTCCAGGCATGTAATAAGGCCATAATTCATTTGTGTATAAATATTAGGTCAGCATTCTCTCTTCTTCTGCTCAACAAGTTTAGGTTAAGACTCTTCAAAAGAATTGTATAATCACGATTGTCAATGAGCATATTCATTGTAAAAGCACAAACTCTCAGGAATTTATGTTGGACTCTTTCCGATTTGACACACAAATAATGAAGCCATTTTCGAAGCGGGAGACTATTAAGGCAAGATAAACCATTCTTATTGAATTGATAGATAATAGTTTGCAATTTTGTAATATAAAGCCCAGTAGCTTTGGTGTATTGATAGCAATATTATTTGTATGATCTACAAATCGCAATTGCTTGTTGAAGATAACTTCTAGATAGATATAGATAGATATTTTATTGGACCACATTATGTATACAAATTTGTAGCAAGTCGTACAGAATACACAATTTGAAGTAACACAATTTAAAAAAATATACATATATACACATATACATACACATGTACACATATACATAAATATGTAATAGTTGAATTACAAATACAAATAAAATAACAATAGACCTTGGAGTAAAGATATCACAGCAGGTTAAGAGAATAGAAGTCATAGCGGGATGATCATTCACATGTCAACTCATTATTTATATAATTCAGTTGGCAGTTCTTGAATTCATCGAGAGAATAGAATGCGTTGTTATTGAAAAATGTTTTAGTTATTCTCTTGAATTTGTTTTGGCTCAAATTTTTAATGTGGGCGGGAATTTTATTGAAGAGGTTCAAGTCGAGCGAATTTTTGGTTGAGGTAGTGAGTCTGTATCGCGGATTGATCAACTGATTATTGTTTCTTGTATTATAATTATGCGTATCGGAGTGAGTTTGGTAGATACCGATGTTCTTGTGGATCTATAGCAGGCAATATATATAGTGACATAATTTTGAATTCGGTAAAGTAGTTTCTACAAGATTCCATATATCCCCCACAAGCTAATATCCGTATGGCCTTTTTCTGTATTCGGAGAACTTTAAGTGAGAGACTAGAGTTTCCCCATAGTCGTACACCATAAGTAATGTGTGAATGGAACAGGGCAATGTAAGATATTCTCAATGATTCGAAACTGGTTACCGTTTTCGGTTGTCTTAGGAGATAGAGTTGATTCGAAAGTTTAGAGCACAGTTGGTCAACATGACAGTTCCATTTCAAAGAGTGATCCAAGGTTACACCCAGAGGTTTAACTTTATTTGCTGAGTTCTCACGACAGTTAGTTGAAATGGAAATCCTTTGGCACTTATTAGGGTTTTGTTTCAATTTGTTTGTTAGAAACCATTCTTCTGCTTCCTTCATTGAATTGACAAGTGTTAGTCAATCAATCAATCAATCAGTCAAACATGTATTGAATCAGTTTTCCTTCATAATCACATTAGACAAAAAAAACATAACATAAAATACTGACCGATTCAACAGGTCAAACAAACATAAAAAAGTCAATATAAAACATAAAACGTACATAAAAAAAATAAGCTACAATCAAATTAGGATTCAAGGAGAAACTGATTCACAGAGTAGTATGCTTTTTGCAATAGAAAAATCTTGAGTCGCCTTTTAAAGACATTGATATTTGGGGATTTAATGTCCTCACTAAGCTTATTATATGTCTTAACCTCAAATCACATGGAGTGATTCTTTAATACTGTCAATCTACTATAAGGTTGATGTAGTTGAGGGTTATTTCTGGTGAAATGTTCATGGATTCGCTCATTTCTAGGAATAATTGAAATATTGTTTTTGATATATTATCAGAGTTTGGTAGAGATACAAACTAGGCATTGTTAATAAACTATAACGAATGAATAATGGCCTGCAGTGTTCACTTGAAGATACCCCAGCCAGAATTCTGATTATCTTTTTGTAAATAACAAAAACTTCATTGGCTTTAGCTGATAAGCCACACTGTTCAAGACCATAGGAAATTACTCACTGAATTAAACTGTGGTATAAAAGCTTAGTGGATTACCATTCAGAGAGTATGAGGTGTGACATTTTCTATTCATTTTGTGAAACTGATAAAACTACATTTGTTGATATTCATGTGTAAATTGTTTTCAATACACCACCTATCCCAAGCTATTCAAATTATATTGTAACAGAGTAACATGGTCTAATGATTCTATTGGCCAGAAAATTTTAAGGTCGTCTGCAAACATAAGAAAGTTTGAGTTTTCAAAACATTCAGTAATGTCATTAACAAAGATGTTGAATAGAAGAGGTAAATAAAGAGACCCTTGAGGTACTCCCGACGTTATATGAATGATAGTTGACCTCCTCACCTTCTGAAAACGCCTCCTTGATAAGTTAAACGTGCATCGAGAAGAGTATTACAGTTTTATTGTTTGCGAAAAGTGTTTGTTTTGGTTCCAGAGGTTCCGGCTTAAAAAAACTCGAATATTAATCGTACTGTTGCAAATATAATTCAAAATGCATCAAAATATGTAGTCAATGGGCATCGTTTCGCATGGCCGTGACGGTGTTGTGTGGTTGCAGCGCGAGTGCGTGTTACGGTGCATGTGCCCTGCGGACCAGCCACACAGAAGGGCACCCACTAACTGCCTGCTGGCTACCTGCTACAACACAGACTCGGTAGGCCGCATGCACAACTAATTCATTTATTGAGGTGGTATTAAATTGATTTTTATATTTTTTGTGGATAAGACACACTGTTTCCAAAATAGAAAGACATATTAAGGTCATTATAATACTAGGCAATCTAGTAATTTGAGAATTGCAAAAAATCGAATCTGATATTGAAAGAAAATCATTAAAGGCACTCTCATAGAATAACCATTTACAATAGTTTACTAGGTAAAATCAAATGAACTATTTCATTCGCCAAAAATTTCGAACATATAACATTTTTCATTTTCATTTTCACATTTTTTAAAAATAATTTTAAGTTCATTATTAGGTTGTTCCAAAAAATTTGTCTGTTTTTATGAGTGTAATTTGAACTGTAATGTCTCGGTGAATACTTACTCAATTTAATCGAAATTAGTGTCATTTTAATCAGTGCACTTTTGCCAATGTAACACAAGTTGATTATTCCCACCAGCATGAAAATTGTGTGCTCGAAATTCGATCAAGTCGACGAAGGCCGTTTTGCCTGTTCCTCCTGGTTGGCGGAGGTTCTACCGTTGGGAAAGTTATCGAAGTGCTTGAAAAGATGGTAGTCGCTTGGCGAAAGGTCTGGAGAGTATGGTGGGTGAGGCACAACTTCGACGCCATCCTACGCATCGTTTGTGGTAGGTCAGTCACCACCAAGCTCTTCAAATTCTCGTTCTGGATTACTGTAGGTCGACCACTTTGGAGCTCACCTTCGAGGCTAAAATCTCCGTAACGAAATTTTGCAAACCAACATCGAACAGTGCGTTCATTACCACTATCATTGCCAATTGCTTGGTTAATTTTTCGGTCTGTTTCGGCAGCGCTTTGGTTCAATTTGAATTCATAGAGAAAAATTGGCTGTCAATCGCTTAACGACATCACATAGTAATAATAATAATAGAATTTATTCATCAATCAAAGGTTATACAAGGCATTATACATTAACACATGCATAACACTTATCAGACTAATCAAGAAAGAAAAGAAGGTAATCTACAAATAAATTGTTAAGATAGTATAAGTATAGTCGCAAAACCAACCAGAAAAATTGTACATACAATAGTCAGTCTCACGAATTATAATAATATTGTTATAATAAGCTGAATAATAATAATAATCGGAATTTATTGCTCAACTGGCTATCGACCGAATAGTATAGGATCCCACTGCAAAATTATTTAGGAATAATGTAGACAATTAAAATTTAATTTTGAAGTGATTTCATAAGTAGGAGAATTCATTTTTCATAAGGTGCCAATTAGTAATTACCAGCCAGTACTATTAATTAAAATATTATTAATTGACTTTTAGAAATACATTTCGTTTACATTTTATGGAAATGAAGCCTACATCACTTAACAATAGTGTATTCGAAAGATTTGAAAAGTTACAGTTGCTGCTGATTGTTTAGCTGCTACCTCTACACAGCCAGGTGTAAATAGGTACGATTTTGTTTAAGCTTATCGTTTATTATGTATATTTATTTCGTTAACACCACATTAAAGATCATTTTTTTCTGTACATAATTTTATGAAGGTGCTTGTAAAAAAATCCGCAAATGGAAGTTTCCTGACTTACAATAAAGATGGTAGGTACTGAAAATAAAGTGACAGAAAGTGAGTGCGCGACGCTACTGGTTAGACAAGGACGCTAAATACCAGCTGTGCCTGTATTTTGAGCCATTGCGCATGTCTCGATAAATATGGTTCTCAGTCAAGCAACTGAGCTAAGGTTTTGTATTGATTGTAAATCCTAACCAAACTATTTTGCAGCTAGTGATACGCTTCACTTTTATTGTTGTTGTTTCAATGATATCAAAATAATATTACTATTGTTTATGTAAAGCTTAAATTAACGAAATGTCGAAGTGTTTTTTGTGCAGTAAGTCAAATAAATTACTCAGATTTAATGAAGTATCATTTAAAAAATGTTTCTGTATGTCATCATTTCGGCGAAAAAAAAAATAAATATTATGACATTATATTAACAGTAGAATCAACTGATTACTTCGATTATCAAACTGATTGTCTCAAGAAAATTACTGTTATAAAACAAAAAGACAAAGAAGAGTTTGAACATTTTTGCACAACATTAATTGTAGGTATAAATGTTTATTTTTTAAGAATAATTTTTAATTAGTGATCAATCTGTTTTCAGTAATTTTTATTAATTTTGAGTATCAAAAACATTTATCATTGTAAATTAAAAATACACACAATAATATTTCAATTACAAATAAATGAAAATAAATGAATAGTTTACTTTACTTAATATTATTTTTTTGAATATTATATCTGTTTAGACCGTGGGTTGAGAACCCTATTTATCGAGGCATGCGCAATGGTTCAAAAAACGGGTACAGCTGGTATTTAGCGTCCTTGTCTAAGCAGTAGCGTAGCTCAATCACTCTCTGCTACTTCATTTTCAATGCCTAGCGTCTTTAGAGTCAGGAAACTTTGATTTGCGGATTTTTTTTACAAGCACCTTTATAAAAGTGAGAACAGAAAAAAATGATCTTTAATGTGGTGTCAATGAAATAAATATACATAATAAACGAAAAGTTTAAACAAAATCATACCTATTTACACCTGGCTGCGTGGAGGTAGCGGCTTGTTTAGCCGCAACTGTGATTTTTCAAATCTTTCGAATACACTATTGTAAAGTGCTGTAGACTTTATTTCCATAAGATGTAAACAAAATTTATTTCTAAAAGTATGATTTCTACATTGTCGTCTTTTCTCGCAAACTTCTGAGTAAGTGACGGTAGTGTTTCCTCGATAGAGATAATACCAGTGAGTTGGTACAGCAGGGGGTTTGGAGGGTTATGTTTGGGGTTATTGGGATGCCTTAATGTTGTTATTTTCGTTATAGCCATTGTTTCGGATACTTTAATTGTTTTCAAGGCCCTTTGTTTGATATTGAGAAACATTAGTTTATATATTCGGCTTGCTGTTGATATGCTTGCACCTGCTCCCGGGTTTGTCAAACTTGTAAAATATGTGCTGCTCTTGCAATCACTTTTAGTCTGGAAATAAGCGTAACACCTAGGTAATTAACTGTCGATTTTGCATGTAAGGTATGTTGAAAAACGTTGATTGTTGGAGAAGTTGTGGAATTCCGATGATTAAATATGATGAACTGAGACTTAGGTGGGTTTGGCCGGAGCCTCCATTTATTGAACCAGTTATTTGTTAATGTTGCAAGACGTTTCAAATTGTTAATAACTGTGTCTAGCGTTTGATCGTGCGCAATTAGGGCGGTGTCATCTGCATACTGGGGAATATGTGCTTCATGTCTGAAGTGGTTGATATTCCCTTGTGATGATAAATATCTGAGCTGTATAAGTTATATAACAATGGTGAGAGCGGTGAACCCTGCTCTGGGATAAATTCGTCTGAAAAACTACTCAGTATGTTAACTCTCAATTTCCTGTCAATTAGCAGATTCTTAATTGTAAGTACTAGATAGTTAGGACAGCCCAGTTGATGCAGTTCGAATAAAAGACCCTTGTGCTAGATACTATCGAATGCTTTGTTCATATTCAGAAAGATCGCTGCCGTTTTGTTCTTGTTCAGCTTGGTTGTTTAAATGTTGTTCGTGAGAATCGTGAGAGGAAGTATAGTGGATCTTTCTTGTCTAAATCCAACAAACTGGTAGCTTGGAATTTCATCATTAAGCAGTTGGAGTAAACGGTTTCGTAAAAGTTTTTCAAAGTTTTTACCAATTACAGGCAGGAGAGTAATCGGACGATAGCTGTCTGTAAGGAAGTGATCCTTGTTTGGTTTGGGTAATAATCTGAAAATAGACAAAATTTCAAAATTCTTCATCGATCAGTATATACCACGACACAGAAGAATAAATATTTATTGCCATTAAAACGGACAAAACTTTTGAAACAACCTAATAACGTTTGTTTGTCGATAAGAAAAATATGAAACCTCTGACGAGAAATGAATCTATTGAAAACTTATCCCTCCCCAGAACAAAAAATCTGTCTCTCGAAGCACGTTTCGCTAACTAAGTTAGCACCTATTACCGAAATTAGTTATCTCGTGATGATGCTGCATTTTTGTGCTGGTGAGGGTGAGATTTGTTTGTTAATACTGTTGATTGTATTCATGTATATCTATATGTGTTTTTGTATGAATATTATTTTTTCATTATTGTCCCTCTATAGGCATACTTTTCTTGGGATCAATAAGCATTATTATTATGAACATCTCATAAAATATTTGACATCGTTTTCTCTTGTTTTGTGTGTGTGAGTATGTGCACGTGCTCGTGTGCGTGCGTATGTATGTGTGTGTGTGCGCGTGTGTGGATGCGCGTGCGCTAAATTTTAGGACCATGAACTGCCGGAAACAAATATTTTTAATTGCTTTGAGACAATTGGTCAAGTGTTAACAGATTCATCTCATTTATTTTAAGTAAATTCTTGTTGGAATACATAAGTGGTGATTGAGAGTATAATTTCACAGTGTACTATGTACATTGTACACATTTTTTTAATGTTATGATCAGCCTGTCACTGACTGTTGCAGCTCATATAGTACTACCCATAAATGCACCTACTTATCAATATTTATATTAGTAGTTTTTTCATGGAGCTAAGAGATTTCTTTCGATAAGATCATTGAGCAAGGAAAATTCACATAATATTTTAGTGATAGTTGATAATGTAAGTTTTCGATATGTATTTATGTATTCCAAAATGTACACTGCCATAATTAGCTAGAAAATGAACGTTTTTCAGTACATTTTTTTTTCTCACAATAACACTTCAAACAAGTTGTACACATTAAAAACCCGCAATATACAGAATTGGTTTTTATTGACAGTTACAAAAAAATCAAACAAAAGTTTTGAATCTAGCTCATACTCTTTCACTTCACGTAATTAAAAGTGACATTATTCAGGACATTTCACCTCAAATTCCCACATGGGATATCTTCAGAACTAGACCGTATATTTTAATTCTGCAAACTCTAGTGAATTAACAAAAATGACGACTTTAACTTGACATAACAGTCAATTTAAATTATTCGATATATTGGGATATAGGTATAATTTAATGCCGAAGGAACAAAATTCTCATCGACAGTATAAAATGTTCAGAAATCACATGGTAGGTTTAGGTTCTGTATATACATACATGACATCATTCTAAATACACTATACATATACAGACATAGATATATACATTATATATGTAAAAACGAATATGTATCACTAAAACACTTGCTTGAAGAATAAATTTCATAAAGACTGACAAAATTGTATTTTAAAATCAGTTGGTAGCTGATGATTAATTTTCCAATGATGATGGAATTCATATTGAAACATTCATTATTGATATTTGTAATTTAAGATCTTCAGTAATAACTAACTGGAGAAACTCCAGTTAGTTATTTTTACCTTATGCCATATTAATTCTAGTCGTAATCTGTTCTTTTATGCATATTACTTGTACAAAATAATTTCAATGTTTCACATCTGCCAGGCGTCCCGTCACGGCTCACAATTTTTTTGGATTATAACATGATTTATTTCAAATAACAATTTATTTCCATAATTTTATGTACGAAATAATGATGAGATCATGAGGAAAATAGAGAATATCTCTAATGATTTGATATTCGTTATTTTAGCTATTCCTTATCATTAATACCGAAAAATTTGAATGGACTCTTATGTCAAATTCAAGTCATCATTCTTGCTAAATTACTAGCGTTTGCAGACTTGAAATATATTCTCTAGTTCTAAAGTTTTTGGTGAAATTCCCTGTAAACAATGTATATCTCATTTACAAGTATCTAATTTTTTATTACCATATTTGTATATAAAGGTTTCTCATTAACATTTATTTTACTAAGGTTTAATTTGCAGGAAAAATATCTCTATTATAAATGGTTTTGTTTAATCAGTAATAATGTATACAATTTGTTGATTTTTTTCAGTTTGAACTAACATTTAGTTAATACTTAATCTACAATGAAATGAAATAAATAATTTTGATATCATTCTGTCAACAAACCTAGGTTAACGGTTTCTTGAGTCGATGAATGGTTACTGTCAAAAATAAAAATCTTAATGTTAGCATGTCATTACAGATTACAGTAAGTATAGCTTGTTGTTGACTATAACTTGTGAAATTTGAAACAGTGAGAGATACCACCTCGACTGAGCAACAACACTAAATGTTCATTAGATACATGTAGAGAATTATTTCAGCTTAAATCCAGTAACCAATAATCAAACTTGTATTCCGACTGCTTGAACAAGTGTGTTTCGATTGCCATTCTAACATCCTCTAGAATTCTCTTTTCAGTATATTTGTTGAAATAAAATGATACCAGACTTGACAGGTAACTAGATAACCATGAGATATAATGCTTACTTGAAGTCTTGAAAAATTTCTCTTTGAAAGGATGAAGAAATGGCACTCAATACAGAAAATCTATTGAACAGTTTCGGTTGTAGGGTTTTGGTTTTTTTTGTTAATGTGATAATGAATAGTTCTTTCCAAATAAGCTTATTACTTAGATCTAGGTTAGGTTAGGTCCAAAGTGATTGGGTCTATTCGACCCTCCACCGCAACCCGCAAGGGTTTATTGTGGCTTACACATATTCGCACTCGACCAAATAAACCCAGGTTCTCAATGAAGCCCACTACTTTGCATGGTGAGTGGTCTTTCAGGTCAAACGGTTAGAGTACGGCTCTGCCGAACTCTAAAAACCTTATTCGGTCCCAAGCGGGGCAGGCACAAAGTATGTGCTCTGCTGTTTCATCATTTCCCAAACAGAGGCGACCCATACTGTCTTCAGACAGTCCGAGTCTCTGCATATGATGATTCAAATGACAGTGACCTGTAAGAAGGCCTGTGAGACATCATAGTTCATTCCTGGTATCAAACTTCGAAGGGTGTACTCAGATCTAAATAATATTTTAGTTTTTCGCCAATATTTTTAATAGACTTTATACTTCTTCACTGATTTATAATAAAGCAATTCAACCTGAAAAAAAACCGTCCGGATTTATAAAACGAGGGCCGAGTGCAATGCTGTTACTAAATATACATATAAACGCGCTATTTATAGGCACGCGCCGCTGCCCCCCTGGCCGGTACCGCCGCAACCGCTATGTCCCTGCATTTTTAATCTGTGATATTTTCGAAAATATTCAATTAAATTACATGCTGTTAAGGGCCATATTGATCTATATTAAACGCACAATGAATTTGAGGTACTTAATTGGATAAGAATTAATGCTGTATTGCTTAAAATCACTTCGTAAATAAGCCATTATGTCTCGAAGATAAAAAATGGTTATTGTGGGTTATTTCTAAAAGATAAACATGTAAATATGTATCATCCTTTTGTGGACCTTTTTAAGGTGTATAATACTGTAGTACATTTTTTTATCTATCTCGTAGGGTTTAGCTAGTGTTTGCAATGTAAGCGCAAAAAAAATTGTTTATTTACGTCACATTATAATCCTCTAAAATTATCAGTGTTTCTCTAGTATATTATACATATTTTACACATATAAACCTTCCTTTTGAATCACTCTATCTATTAAAAAACACAGCATCAAAATCCGTTGCATAGTTTTAAAGATCTAATCATACACAGGGACATACAGCGGAAAGCGACTTTGTTTTATACTATGTAGTAATATGCCATTAAAAGCGCATTGCTGATGGAGCTAAAAATCGATTGAAGAAGTTTTTGAGGAGACTATTTTGAAGACGACAACATTAATGTAGACGAATAAATGTTTTTTTTTTCAAAAAACGAAAATTCACATTATTTTCTGAACATAATTCGTACACAGATTTCTTAGTATTTACAATTTCTATGGTATCTCAGGAAAGAGTGGAATTTCAATAATTTGGCAATAAGTTGAACTATCTATGATTAATGATTATATCCCAATATACTAATCAAGGCTTCACTAATGGTATATTTCTTATTGCATGATGATTGACATTTCCTCAGTTTATTATTTTTTTTTATTTCAATACTAATTTTTGTTGTTTGTGTTTTCATTTCAAGCTGCCGCAGATGTTTTGTGCCAAAAATTCATTAACTTCTGAAGGTAGGTTTTCATTTGTTCTGTGTTAAGAGAAGCATGAAGTTGATGTAATTAAAGTTGATGAGAGTCTGAAAGATTTCGAGAAGGAAGATTGAATTCTTGCCAGTCATCTAATCATATCTCAACCCTTTATGGCTTCTCTGTTGTTAATCCTAAGTTAAATTGATAGTATGATTCCTTCACATCATATGGAAAAATCTGTATAATTAACATTTGGGTTAATTGAACTTTTATGATACCAGTTGGAGGTGACTTGAAATCCTAAACTAGTATCTCAAATAAATGTGTAACTAACTGATTTTACTCTCATCAACTTTATTTCGATATTCTTTGAAGTGTTGGAAAACCAAACTGACCCTGAGACTTTTTTCAGATGGTTCGAAGAATGAAAAACTTAATTTAGCAGACCTCGATTTGAAAAAATTTGGTTTCTCACAAGAAGATGCTTTAGCATTATCATATCTAACGCCAGGTCTCTCTAGAAGGATTCAGAAACATATACTTGCTCAATTGGCACCTTCTGAAGATAGAAAACTTTACCGAACATTATCATCTCGCACCTCAGGAGAACAAGATGTATCGCATGGTTTCACTTCTACACTCCCAAGAAAGTTTTCTATTGAAAATTCCAATTCAGTTTTAACAGAGGAAATAGATAGGCCAAAAGAGTCCAACTTGAAAATGCCGAAATCTCTCCTTCCAATTAAACGAGATGAGAATAAACCTTCATATGAGTTTAACCTCAGATCGTCAAGTATAGGCGCTGAGCCTAGATGTGACAATAAGTTCATGTATAGAAAACCAAAAGTTACAAAGTCGTTTTCTGTGCGAGAACCAAGGTCCTATTCAGTGGCTAAAACCGATATTCAGAGTCCCGATTCCAGTATTTCAGAAAGCTTTTCAAATTCAAACAGAAATGATAGTTTGGAGAGTAGTTCAAAGTGCATATCAGACTCGTCTGCATCAAGGCCTTATTCAAAGTATTCATCAGATTCCTTATACAGCAGATATTCGCCTAATAAATCATCGCAATCTTTGGCAGCTACGGATATTCACAAGACTGATTTAAAAAAACCGTCCAGTGCAAGAATGGTGTCGAGATTTTTGAGACCTGACTTTTTTGATACACCTAAAGAAGACAGTATTTTTTTCAAGGAAAAGAAAGAAAGGGAAATGGAAACACAGAAGGTTTTAAAGGAAATTAGAGATAAAAGAAAATGTAGATTAAGTTCCAGACGAGATCGATCTGGTTCTAGAGAAAAACAGGTGGAAAATAAACCGATTCAGGATAATTTTGAAAATAGAAAAGAGGAAATTGTAAAAGAAACCAGACACTTGCTTTCAAATGCAACTGATAGTATCAAAAGCTTGGAAAATGATGTGACGAACGTTCATGATTATGTAAATGTTTCTGTGCCTGTGCAAGTAGAAAGCAATTCAAAAGAGTCACACCATTCAAAATCTCTACACGATTATGTAAATTTGAAGTCTTGTGAAAATTCAGGTCCTGCAGTTAAAAAAGAAAGGTCTTCTAGAATTGCACGTCCAAAAAGTTACCCAACTGAGAACATAACGGAAGACAAAAAAAGAGATATTCCTGAAAAAGAATCAAAAATAAGCAAACTTCGCAAGGGTTTGACAAAGCAGTCAAAAGAAAAATCTAAAGAAGATAAAAACGAAGTTAATAAGTCTATAAACGAAGAAGAAAAGGGTCATAAAAACAAGTTATTACAATCAATAGAAAAGAAACTTGAAAAATTCAGGTCTTCAAAAGATCCAGAAGAAATGAGAGTAGTTCAAGAAAAAAAATCTACAGTAGAAAATGCCATCAAGCGGTTACGGGAACAGAGTTTGCCAAGAAACTTGGAACACTGTACAGAATCTGGTTTAATTAAAAGAGCAGTATCTGTGGAGGATCTGTCAGGCGCAAAGCCATTACAAGCATCTAGGAAGTCAGTTACTAAAATCTTGGGTCTTTTTAAAAAATATGAGGAACAAGATAAAAAAAAAGTTACAAAAAAAACTAAAAATAAATCGAACAAATGTGGTGATAAAGATAGTGATAAAACTACCGGATCTGTGATTGAAAAAGATGGAACTGTTCAAGTCAATTCAAATTGTAATGAAAACGAAGCGCCTCCTAGTGGCCCTAGTCAATCAGAACCCTTAGAAAAAAAAGAACGCCCCCGATCATTACTTCTTGATAAAATGAAGCAGTTTCGAAATGGTGCTAAAAGTGATACAGGATTGAATGAAAAGGAGTCAAAAGTCAAATCGAAATTGCCTGTTAACTCCTTCAGGCGTAGTTTAAACCTAGACAACTTGCCTGAACCTCCCAAGTTCTATAAAAATCCCAGTAGAACTAATCTTACAGCAAGTGTTGATAAGAAAGTAGACCGAAAGCACTTGAAGTTAGATTTGGACAGGGTACCCAACAGAAATGAACCAGTCATAATTGTAGATCCTGCTCCCAGTTCGAGTAATTGTGAAGAAAATTCTAATGAAAACCGAAATTCTCTAACGACAACTGACGACAGTTCAACTGTATTGTCTCCTTCTGATGACTATATGAGTTGTGATTCATGGTCAGTCTGTTCTGATTTTCATCATAATAATGAATTACATTCTCCACTTTCCCAAAATGGTCATGTTTATTCAGGTGACGAAAACGAATCAGTTATTGACAGAATCCGAAGAAAAAGTTTCTATACTAGATTCAATGAGAAGAAAAGAACTCGTAAACCAAATTCCTACAGAGATCTTGAATTAGGATATAAATCTCTAACAGACTATAGTTCTTTAGATCGGAAAAATTACGATTATGGAAATCCAGTTACTCGCAGATCCAGTTATGCTTCCACACTATATGAACCTTCCAAATCCTACAGACCCTATAATAGAAGTTCTTCGTTAATGAGTGACTATGTTAACATGCCCAACCGCTACCAGACTTATAGTTCCAAAATTGGTAGGCCTGTTTCTTCCTTATACTCTGATTCTGAAGATAATATTTTGGATGATACCTATTCAACTGCTAATTCTAAAAAGTGAGTACAAATAAATAACATTAATCTTTTCGTTTATAATAATTATTATGATGTTCTTCAGTTACTGTACAACATTTTGATTTCTAATGAAAATTCAGAGTTCGTCATTTTTTACACTCTCCTGGGGGTTAGAATTATGCTGCGGCATCTTCTGTCTCTTGTAAGAAGCAACTAAAAAGAGGCTTCAATCTAGTGGTGTTATGCGACCTAAGCTGAAGGGTAAATGGTAAATTTCCAGCGAAACCTTCTTGATACCTCCCCTCCGAGTTCCTGTCTTGCATTCATACAACGGGCTACATGGATGTTTATAACCCCCTTTCCTATACTCGTTAGAACTTGATAGAGTTCGAACAGAAGAATGAGGACTCTATGAGTTACTCTCCCAACTCATGATGAGACTATTAAAAGCCAATTTACAACATAATAGGGGCTTTGAAAGTTACGGGAATTTAATGCTCTCAGATAAGAATCCAATAACATAAGAAAGGGATATACTGCCCTATAGCCCATTTGTCATAAGGTTTTCTTCAAATAATGTAAATACAAATTAGATATCCTTCATCTCTTGTGATGAATAAAGCCGATGGCTCAAAAACCAAAGAAGGCTCAGGATGTGGAGTGTACTCCAGGTCATTATGCCTAAGGATTAAGTGGGGAATGGGAAGAAATACCAGCGTGGTCCAAACAGAACTGGCTGGTATCTCAATCGCCACAAAAGAAATAACCAAGAAAAGAATTTTGTCCATATGTAGCTGATTTTTTATCTGATAATACAGCTACTGGACTTTCATGACCGGTGGGAGAAATCTTATCTGCATAAAGTTTGAGGTATTTAAAATATGTTTATGCAATTTACTTTTAAAATCCATCACTAACTGAATACGGTCCTGAATTCGTATGTTTACAGCTCGAATAATCTAACAGACTGATGAAAGATTTCTACACATCTACTGCACATCTTGAGGGAGGGGCCTCTCACCGGTATTTAAATGTTAACATTTGTTTACAAAAAGGATATGAAGCTTTAATAACGTCTACTTATTATATGCGAGCGCTTTCAATAGTAGACAATAAGATACTCAAACTGAACGTTTCATCTTATTGTTTGTGTTTTTATACGGTTAGAACGCCTTAGTGCAGGTATTTGTCCTTTCCTGTCATCCGAAAGTCTCTTTAAATTTGCCTGTATTTGGGTTACATCAGGTAATATCCTTTGTGTTGGAGTTTCTCTAGTTTCATTGTTTCTAGGAATATGTATTGTATTTGTGATATATTAAATTTTAGGTCTTCTTGTGTTTTTATTTGTATTTATACATGTCACTCAATGAATTGTCACAAGCACAAAGATGTTTTTTTAATCGATAAAAGATATCTATATTTTTCAAATGAATACCAATATTGGGTAAAAAAAAATTGAAAACACTGAACAACACTAAAAACATTTTTTTTTTTATTACAGGTACAGTTCCCAAATAGCATCCAGGCCAAGTAGAACATCTGTCTCACCTGTAAGTGAATATTTTGACCACTCTTCGTCCTCCGTAATTCCGTCTACTACTTCAGGACCTGTTTGAGATGTTTCTCAATTTCTTTAATGTAACTTTCAACTTTTGGTACAACTCTCAGATCGCTATGAATTTATTTCATGGTCGTTCAGTTTTTTATCTATTAATATTTAATATCTTTTTGTGAAACCAATCATTAGTTAAATTGTTGATGAAATTTTTAGGAAGATTAGGTTAAGTCTGTTAAATTGAGGATTTTTTTTTCATTTGAGTNGGGAATGTTTCCTGCTTATTCATCAAACTCAAACAACTGTTCATGCAGCTGCAGTTTCGTAAAAAGGTATCATCTTTCCCTCCAACCAATTTCCTGGAGTCTTTGAAGTCCACTAGATACTCGTTAGGACAACAAGAGGATTGTTCTGAATTCTTGGGGTTCTTGTTGAATACTCTTTGTGGACAAAACAATAGCAGAATCAATACTCCTGACTGCTCTGGATTGAGTGATTCCGTACAGTCTATCTCGTCTTGTGTTTGTAAATCTTTTGCTGGAAAAATCCTCACTTGTTCACTTTGTAGCAAATGTTCAAGAGATAGCAAAAACGTTTGTGAATTTCTGGAACTTCATCTAGCGTTTTCTTGATATGACTAATAACCAGTCCATGCAAAGCTTATTGTTAAATCATCTGAAAATGAAATTTTTAACAGGTGATGATCGACTGTATTGCTAAACATGCCCCAAACTGACTGTTATAAGGAAATAAATATAGCTGAGGCACTAGTCAATTTAATAATAACACTGAAGATCTTCAAACAAGACTCAATCTCTGACGGAAGCACCAAACTCTTTCGAAGGTTCGAAATAGATGAACACTTCAATCTAGCAGACCACTATTATAATATTCATGCAGCCATTGTTCACTGTGGTTCTGGCGTTGAATTTGGTCATTATTACCTCTTCGTCAAAGACGAAACGGACTGGTTTGTCGATAGTCGTGTCACGAAGTGTTCTGGCGATGTATTGAATTCATTGGAGACGCCGTACATTTTGATTTATGAGAGAGAGGACATTGGCAGAGCAAGATCTTCAGATGATGTGGTGCTGCAACTGGAATCAATGAAGTCGCCCCGGAGCACCAATTAATTTTGATTGTTATTTTTATATTATACTACTAATTAAATGAAATTATAATAAAAATTTAAAGTATAGGTGTCAATATAAACAACAAAAAAAAACCTATACTGAATCACAGCCAAGTTCTGTTGTAATATTCATCAAGATTGTAGTACGCTTTTGTTACAAGGGCATCTTTAACAAGATTTCTGAATTTTTATAGCTTTTTTCATTCCTAATTTCGTAAGGTATATGATTATACAGCTTTTTACTTTCATGAATTAAAGAATACTTTGTCTGACTTGTTTTTGGAACACGAAGATGTATTTTATTTTCTGTTACGTGCCGGGTTATGTAATTTATATGTTCCGGAGTTCCAATGTTTTTTGTAAATCAGGCAAACAGTTTCCAGTATAAAAATACAAGTAACAGTGGGAATTTTTTCTCTCAAAAATAATGGTCTGTATGACTCACGCACTCCCACCTTACATAAATATTTAACCGCTCGCTTTTGCAAAACAAACACTGAATGAAAAAGGTGTTGACTGCAAAATCCCCAGATAGAAGTGTTTTGCGTGTTCGGCAATTTTCTGCCAAAAAATTTATCAAAGAATTTGCGTCAAATTTTGTGTGAAAACGGGAATTAAGTGCTCAGAAACACTTGAAATGTCAACAGTGGCATACGGTGATTGTACTCTGAGTCTGAAAAATGTTTACAAGTGATACAAGCTTTTCACAGAAGGCCGGGACGATGTGAACGATGAAGCTCGCCATGGACGACCCTGCACATTAACAACTAATGAAAATATTGTGAAAGTGGAAAAATTGTTATGGAGAATCGTTGAATTGCTATTAGAGAAGTTGCTGAGGATGTCGGCATATCGGTAGGCTAATGCCAAGCAATTTTTTTCGTAAATTTAGGCATGAAGCATGTGGAAGCGAAGTTCATTCCAAAATTGTTGAATTATGACAAAAAAACCGTCGCATGAGCATCGCTTACAAATTGTTGAATGACGTCAACGACGACCCAGATTTGCTTGAAACGGTCATAACTGGTGAGGAACCATGAGTATATGGTTATGAAATCGAAACCAAAGTCCAATCATCCCAATGGTAGAGCCCAAAAGAGCCAAGACCAAAAAAATCACGCTAAGTTCGACCAAATGTCACTAGTCACTGTTTTCTTAGACTACCGTGGCGTAGTGCATCAGGAGTTGTTGCCACATGGTCTTGAAGTTATGCGCTGCTTGCGAGAGGCAATATGAAGAAAACAATTCATGACTTTTGCATCACGATAGTGCACCTGCTCATTCATCATTGCTTGTTTGTCAAGAATTACCATTTTTAAAAATTAAAGAGGCTGCAAATAATGTATGGCATGGTTCACTGTTATCTAATGTATGAAATTTTACTTTGGGACACAAGACCAGCGTGCTGGCAGATACTCATAAGCCAAATAATAATTTCAAGAATTATGGCCAAGGCAGGGCCAAAAGAGCATGCATTCATGAAAACTAAAATATCACCACTTCCATGTATAGGTGGACTGTTAAAAAAATAAGGTGAATGTTCAATTTTCTCGGGCTACGTACATTCGCTTAGTGCCACAATAAACCCTTGCGGGTAGCGGTTGAGAATCGAATAGACTCGGTCACTTTGGACCTAACATCCGCTTAGCGATTTTTCATGTTGGCACACTCGTTTTCGAACATATGTTCACAGTTTCAGCTGTTTATTGGCGAGAGGCAAAAAAGTTAGAAGTGTTTTGTGTGTCTCTGCATATGATGATTCAAATGACAATAACCTGTGAGAAGGCCTGTTAGACATCGTAGTGTANGAGTGATCGAATCCCAGAAGATTCGGCCAGAAGTCCATAAATTATCTTGCCACCCAGGTGTTCAATATTTGTTTGACAAAGGTTCTGGTCCGAAGCTTGTAGAACCCTACTTTGCAAGGGAGTCAGCAGCCTCATTGCCTTCGAGGCCAGTATCACCAGGAATCCAGACCAGAGACAATCTGTTTAGTCTTCCTATCGAGGAGAGTCGTTTTTGGCAATTTGCTACCAATTTAGACGTTGCCCGGTATGAACCAAAAGCTCCCAACGCCGCTTGACTGTCCAAGACTATTTTTATTGACTTGTGTATGAAGTTGGATTCTTCCAATCTCTCCTTACACAATTCAATAGCTTAAATTTTCGCATGAAATACAGTCGCATGAGTCCTAGTCAAGTTGATATATCTGTCCTGGGTCTGCGACTGAAAACACCTGCACCAAAACCTGAAGGTTCTGTGGACCAACAACTATCTGCTCTTAATATTTCCTTCTCCCGGATGATCCAGTCCTCTACTCGGGAACAGTACTTTATATGGGAGTTCGTAGTTGACAGTTGGAGGCATAAAGTCAGAGGTCATTTCCAGAATGCTGTGACTTCCAGTGTCAACCACCGGTTTGTTGCACTCTACATTAAATTGATTTGTGCAGTTGGCCATGTGCACACGTTGGCCATGTGGAGAGGAGTTAGATCTAGAATCTAGAAGGATCTTCATGGCCGCTGACGGTGTGGTACTGTGTGTTGATTGTACTCTCTTTCAGAAACGTCTAGAAGGTCTTTTACAGATGGTCGAGAATATGTGAATGACGCTCCAGCACATCAACAACCGATGAAAACATTTAGAAAGTGAAGAAAGTTGCTATGATCGCCGAATCACTATCAGAGAAGTTGCTGATGATGTCGGCATATCGATAGGCTCATTCCATGCATTTTTTCTGAAATTTCAGGCATGAAGTGTGTGACAGCAAAGTTAGTTCCAAAATGGCTGAACTTTGATAAAAAAAACCGTTGCATGAGCATCGCTCAGGAATTTTTGAATGACGTCAAAGGCGATCCAAATTTGCTTGAAAGTGTCATAACTGGTGACGAATAATGGGTAGGTATATGGTTATGTCATCAAAACTAAAGTCCAATTGTCTCAATGCTGGAAGAGCCAAGACCTAAAAAGCACCCTAAGTTCGATTAAATGTCAAAGTTTCCTTCACTATTTTCTTCGATTACCGTGATGTAGTGCATCAGGTGTTCTTGTCACATGGTCGTATTTATATACAGCTGAAGCTGTAAGCAAAAATATTAGACAATGGTTTGATGATAATTTTTCAACAACAAATTTTGATAAAACCAAATATCTCTCTTGAAAATTTATTACCCAACATAAGCCTTCTCAAAATTACCATTAATACACAAATTTTCGAAAGTGACTATGTCAAATAGACATTGATAGACATCTGTAATGGGATCATTTCTAATTTATATTATAAGGTTAATAGAGAAATATTTAGTGTAATAAATAATCTAAGATCTCGGGTGAGTTCAGCACCCCTTGAGAGCGTGGATCAGATGAAAAATGAATTAGTGATGGTGATTTGGTGAAACAGACTGTAGTTATCATTCAGATAACTAATTTCAGAGATGTAGCTTTAAAAAGATGGCCGTTATCAATTGTCAAGGTTCGGAAGCCATTTTTGGAAGACCCTGCGACAGCGTCAATCACCAAACACTTTTACTGAAAGGTAAAGGTATGGGCTAAGAGGTGCCTCTCTCAACTGGATATCCTCATTCCTTGAGAAAGGAGTCAATATGTATCTCTCCAGTGTACAGTCAATAATGAAATCCAGAGTATAAATTCTGAGCCTTTGAGCGTAGGTATGGGTGTATCTCAAGAGTCCATTCTGGGCCCAATCCTTTTTATCCTATATGTAAACAATATAGACTCTGTTGTTCCTGATGTCCATTATACAGCTTATGCTGACGATATTTCCATGATCATCTCAGCACCAGATGACGAAATATTGAAAGACAAATGTGCTTCTGCAGTTGAACGAATATCAGATTTTTTCAATTATCATGATTTATTTTTTGATTCGGATAAAACAAATATTATTCGTTTTCATGATAAACAAAATAGGATAGAAGACTTCAGTTTCAGTGCCGATAATGCGACATACTCAAAATCGAATAAAAGTGTTAAATTCTTGGGTATTCTTCTTGACGAAAACTTGAACTGGAATGCTCATTGCCAACATCTAATTTCTAAGCTTAACTCAATAAAATTTCTATTCATGAATCTCCGGACAGTTTTAACTAGCACTCAACTAATGAGCATTTATTATGCTCAAGTTGATTCAAGACTGAGGTATGGTGTCTGCTTCTGGGGTGGGTCATCCATTGCTCAAAAACGCATTATACGGTGTNATAACATTTCCCGATATTTTTCAAAATAAAAGTACTTTACTCTCGTCTCTAAATCAAATATTTGAAGGCTCCTCGTATATTACGTATGTTTTACTGTATTTCGTTGGTGCATACTTTGGGGATGACATTATTTGACAAATGTTTCTCTACGAATTCAAATTGAACCAAAGGGGTGCCGAAACAGCCCAAAAAATCAACCAGACATTTGGCAATGATAGTGTGTTAATGAACGCACTGTTCGATACTGTTTTCGAAATTTCATTCAGGAGATTTTTGCCTCAAAGATGAGCCCCGAAGTAGTCGACTTACTGTACCTAATTCTATTATACCAAGAGACTTAGTTTTATCTGCTGACATAATGGTGAAGTTATTACCGATAGAAATTTGATTGAAGTGTGGTGAATAAGTTTTACTGCTGCTGAATAGTAAGTACATGGTTTTTTTTATGAAATTAATTGACAGCAATCTATAATTCAGCCATTTTATTATCTTGGGAAAGTCATTTTCGATTTTATGTTTTAATTCCTGGCACTTTCATAAAACAGGAGAGTGTCGTTCACAAAACTTATTATATCACATTCAGGTCCTGTGATGAATAGATTGTCCAGGTAAACAGTAAAGAGTAAGGGTCCTAACACGGTACCTTGTGGTACACCACATGTAATCATTTGTTCCTTGCTAATGTGGTTTTGAATTCACACTTGTTTTCTTTCAGTTAAATATGATTTCATAAGATTGTATACTGTACCTCTAATACCCATATCCCCTAAGGTTTGCAATAGAATGGAGTGATCAACACTATCGAAAGCTTTTGCCAAATCTAGAAATACTCCGATGGTAGGTTTTTTCAAGTCTATAGCCTTGTATATTCGAACTGTTAGTTTTTTTTATAGCATCCTGAGTTGATTTTCCTTTTCTGAATCCCAGCTGTGAATCAGACTCAAAATTTCTTACTCGCACAAGAAATACATCTATTCACGATTAAGGCGAAAGTTTTCAGCACGCCCTGAACATTATAACAATATGGACCGAAGAAGAAGGGCTTAATATAAGCCCATTCAAATCGACCATAGTAGCATTCACCAAGAGGACTAAAACGGAGGGTCTCGGACCTCTTAAACTTCGAAGTGAAGAAATACAAGTGTCGGGGGAGGTTAAATATCTGGGAGTAATCCTAGATTCCAAACTGACTTGGAACCAATACTTAGACAGAATAAAGAGGAAAGCGGAGGTAGCACTGATGCTCGTCAGACGCACCTATGGAAAAACATGGGGGCTAAAACCAGACATGGTATATCGGCTATACACGATGGTGGTTAAACCCATGATAACATACGCATCTCTGGTCTGGTGGACAAAGATGAAGCAGGCGACTGTCATCAACAAACTAGGCAAGGTGCAAAGACTTGCAAGTTTGGGAATGACGGGAGCAATGAGAACTACCCCAACAGCTGCATTGGAGACACTCCTGAATCAACCTCCTTTACACTTTGTGATAATGGGGGAGGCCAGGATTGGCCAATTCAGACTGGAAAACTCACCGAACTAGAAGATCGGACCGAACAGAAATTTCGGAGCAAGTGGAGCACATATTGAATATGTGCACGGACGACATGACACCGAAGTACACCTTTAACACAAACTTCACGGCCAAAATCATAAGCCGTGAAGAGTGGAAGACCATTAGTCATCCCGAAAACATGTTTGGAAAAAACACCTGGTATACAGATGGATCGAAGACCAAACATGGAACAGGAGCTGGAATATACCGAGCGGATAGAAATCTAAACTACAGCTATCCGCTAGGACTATACACATCCGTCTTTCAGGTGGAAGTGTATGCTATCTTGCAGTGTATAAGGCTTATTAAATTGAGACCTCAAAGAAATGAGCGGATCAATATTTTTACAGACAGCAAGAGCGCACTAGGGGCTCTGACAAACCCGAAGGTGACATCAAAACTGGTCTGGGAATGCCATGAAGAACTGAATGAACTTGCAAACAGGAACAAATTAACTTTGTACTGGGTGCCAGGGCATTCAGGAATCACAGGTAATGATAAAGCTGATGAATGCGCTAGACGCGGATCATCAACTTCATATATAGGTCCTGAACCAGCTCTGGGGGTACCAAAATCATTGGTACGAAACCAGATTAGGACATGGACCAATAAGAAGCACACAGAGTACTGGACAAAAGTATCTGGCAACAAATACAGTAGAACCTTCATTAGGGAACCGTCCGAGAAAAGAACTGAAGAACTACTTCAATATAGTAGGGATCGGCTCAGAATAATTACAGGGTTACTAACCGGTCATTGTCCGCTTAGAGGACACCTGAATAAAATGGGGCTGTACAACGGAGACCTCAGCTGCAGATTATGCAACGAAGGGATAGAAACAGCTCTACACATATTATGTGAATGTAAGGCACTGAATCACAGGAGGCAGGCAATATATGGACATAGAAAATTACGCTCAGAAGAATATGACAAACATCCAACACGGAACCTGTACAAACTAGTACAGGGAACAAGACTGATGGAATGGGTATCATGAGAAGATGGGAGAATAAACGCAATAAGCCTAAGAGGCTGCAGTGTTTTCTGGAGACTTGGACTAAATGGACAAGTCAGACAGCTCCCAAGGTACAAAGAAAAACGAAAGTTTCAAAGTGATTTATGGGTTTTGAAAACGAAAAAAGATTATTTTCCGAAACGTCGACCGAAAACGAAAAGAATTCGACAGGTTACTGAGTAACTGGGCTCTTCAGTGGTATATATTACGTATGCAGTAACTTTTGCCCTTTATTACTCTTCACTTTATTACACTTATGTAATTTTCAGATTGTGGGAGGTTATATACCCAAAAAATAGCGAGAAATGAATTAGAATGTTTCGTTAATGACTGACGAATCAGTCAGTTCTGGATAAATTTTATCCAGTTTCAAGCTTTAAATTCTTTGAAGTGGGAAATACAGTAGAACAAAAAGAATCAATATTGCCTTTAACTGAAACTTGATAACATACTACAATTTCATTTGCTGTGTTATTTTGGCCACAACTAAATATCATTGTTCAGCCTCCATTTCACAAACAATACGAGTATTCAGTTTGAAACAGCACCTAAGCCCTCAGACATGTACCATCCTGTGCCCGGCATCCATCAAGCACATACCTTGACACAAATATTTCACCATGACCTTTATTGATTGAAGTGATGTACACAAACGAATCAAAAAACTTCGAGAAATGGGCGCTAACAGTTGCAAACCGTGCAGAAAAAAGAAAACGATATTATCGGGGGGTTCCATACTTGATAGAGTAATCAGTCAGGCTTCAAACCAGGACCAGTGTTTGTTATATAAATTAGCTAATTATAAGAAAGGTAAGTGGAACTAATTATATTCGATATTATTATAAGTTCAATTATTGGCCTGAGGTTGGGTGAGGAATCCGAATAAATGTAAGCTTCTTCAGAAAATAAATCCAAGAACAATGAAAATTGGATCCATTTCTTTTTTACGAAAATATTTTGAAATACAGAAGGTGGGAAATCGATAACAATGCGTAACGCAATAGCCGAGAATATTTTGTGCCACAATCCACAATATTCTCCAGTTATTACTGGAGCTTTCTCCCAACACCAAACAGTTATTTTAAAACCTTGACACGTGTTTCGATCACCAAGTAATTATCTTCAAGACGAAGATTATACTTAATTTAATTTAATCTTCCAAGGGTTCCAAACAGTGCATCACAAATAGCAAGTTAGTTTTAGGAAAGTTCAAAAAGCTCAACCCATATAAAAATCATAATGAAACAAATAAACATCTTGTTTTTTTCAATATTTATTTAATAATAATATCACTTGAGCGAACTTCCTAATTTCATTTTGAATCAAAATCTTAGGTTCAACATAAAACGTAGGTATATTCGAGCTATGGAGGGCTATTCTCGCAGCATAGTTCATGAGTTAGCTTTCGTAAAACACGAAAATTTGCGGTTTTCACATTCCCAGTTTGACCACATATAATTTTTGTGTCTTTTAACCTGTTTGTATAAAACCCCCGCACATAATATCGTCGATAAAAACTTCCACATTTTTTCCAACAATTCTCCAAGTACAGAGTGGGACAAATTAGACAATTTCAAGGAAAAAACTCCTCTTCTCAAATTAGATACATTTAAACTGATAGCTGTGTTTGGGAATCAAATTATATGATAATGGTGAAAACTGCATATCGATATCTATAATAGGGGAGCCCAAGCGGAGATTTACTAAAGCGCGGCAGATTGATATACAGGGGGTAACCTTGTACCCGGTTAAGTACCTCCACCAAATATGAGTCCCTCATATAGGGCCGCCTGTGAGGAATAAAGGATCAGATTAGTAAAAAAAATGATCATCAGAAATTCTCGAGCGCGTCAGATTAAGGTAGGGTGAGTTAATTACATGCTAAAAAGTGTATATTCCAGTAATCTTCATATACATTTTTTGACCTTTTTCATATGT